TATCACTATGGAAGTAGATTGCCCCATCTTCCTTCCAAGGAGTGGCTGGTGGGTTTGAACTGCCAGCCTTCTGGTTAGCAGTCAAGGGCCTTAGGCACTACACTACCAGAGCTCCCATTGACTTTACTAGAAATCTGTAAAGCCCACAACGCTGTGCCAGTCCCCTCTCCCCGTTTAATGTGTATGTACTTTCTGGTTGGTGGAATCTTAACAGCCTAGAACCATTGCACTAAGTTGGGAGTCCAGTGGTGACAACAGTCTGAGGAGCAGGAAGAAGGCAGTGAATTGAGAGTTGAGTGGAAGCGAGTTAGAAAACTTGGCTTTGAAGAGAAAAGGGCTGTGTCCTTGAATGTTGTTTCATTTGGTGGAGATGGGAATATGTTTATGCCCTGAGGGGCCAGAGCTAATGGAGAAAGAGAAGGGGTGGCTTCTGGAGGAGGGAGGACAATCAGGGTGGGGAGAGGGGCTGGGCAAGCTCCCTCCTGGCAGGGGTCCGGGCCACTGAGGTGCCTCTGCCCCCCAATCCCCACCCAGGGTGAGCCTCCCTTGGCCCTGGGCCTGTCCACCTGGAAGGCCCTCAGCATCCTGAAGGAGCAGCTGGAGGCTGTGCTGGAAGGACACCTGAAGGAGCGGAAGAAGCGTCTTACATGGAAGGTGAGATGCTCCCCAGAGCAGTGGGCCTACTGGGATGGCAGAAGCGGGAGGCCCCTTCTCAAAGCTGAGATGTCCCCTCACCTGGGCACACAGCTCAGCCGGGGGTCATGAAAAATCAGAAAGAAGTAGGCCTCTTCCAAAATCCGTTAAATGGGGAAGAGAATGTTTGTTTAATAAATGGTGCTGGCAAAACTGGAGATCCTTTGCAGAAAAATGAAACAAGATCTGTACCTCACACCATACACAAAAACGAACTCCAGATGGATCAAAGACTTAAATGTGAAACGTAAAACTATACAGTTCCTCAAGGAAAACTTAGGGGCAAATTTAAGGCATAAATAGACTATCAAGCATAATTCAAATTGTACAAAGAGCAGAAGAGAAACCAGATGATTGGGACCTTCTAAAAATTAAATTTTTATGTGCTTCCAAAGACTTCTCCAAAAGAGTCAAAAGAGAACCTATAGATTGGGAAAAAATATTTGGTAATAACATATCTGACAAGGGACTTATCTCTAGAATGTATAGATAACTCCAACACCTCAGTAACAAAAAGACAAAAAATCCAATTAAAAAATGGGCAGAAGACATGAATGGACACTTCACCAAGGAGGACAACAAACAAATGAAGAAATGCTCACGATCATTAGCTATTAGAGAGATGCAAATCAAAACAACCATGAGGTACCATCTTGCTCCAGCACTAGTAGCAAAGTTCAACAAGACAGAAAATAACAAATGCTGGCAAGATTGTGGAGAGATTGGGACTCTCATACACTGCTGGTGGGACTGTAAAATGGTACAACCATTGTGGAAAGCAGTATGGCGATTTCTTCAAAAGTTGGAATTAGAAATACCATTTGACCCAGCCATTCCATTACTAGGTATATACCCTAAAGAAGTGAGAGCCATGACAAGAACAGATATATGCACACTCATGTTCATCGCAGCACTATTTACAATAGCCAAAAGATGGAAACAACCTAGATGTCCATCAACTGAGGAATGAATAACCAAACTATGGTACATACACACAATGGAATACTATGCAACGCTAAAGAATAATGTAGAATCTGCAAAACACCACATAACATGGATGAACTTGGAGGACATTATGCTGAGTGAAATAACTCAATCACAAAAGGACAAATATTGTATTAGTCCATTATTGTAAAAGTTAAGGAAAGGTTTATCTGTAGAAGGAAATTTTCTTTGTTGGTTACCAGGGGTGGGAGTGAAGGGGAGAGAACGCTGTTAGATAGATAGAGATAAGTATTGATTTGGGTGAAGAGAAGGGCAGTGTTCCAAATGTGAGTGACCAGTATGGCAGCATTGAGGATGAGAAAGACATAGAGAGGTACATGGGAGGTACAGACAATAAATATGAACCCTTTTGCACATACAGTACTGTGTTATCAGTGAAGGCAAACATGGGTATATGGGGTGGATAGATGGGTGGACAGGCTGAATCATTAGGTATGTCTATGAAATGGGGAGTGTATCCAAGAACATATATAGGGTTAGCAGACGATGGTCTTATAAGTTTATGTGAATGATCAGAATTCCCAGGTGTATAGTAGAGCTGACAAGGGGCAAGGTTGTGGTCACTGCTTGGTCACAGCCAGCTACCAGAGGGACCGAGTAGTTGAACCTGTGGGCTTGGGACCATAGTCGCAGGGGACATCAAGCTCAATTGGCATAACATACTATACAAAACATTGTTCCACCTCCTACTTTGGTGAGTAGTGACTGGAATCTTAAAAGCTAGCAAGCTGCCATCTAGATGCAGTGATGGGTTTCTCCTTGTCCAGAGCAAAGAAGAATGAAGAAAACCAAAATTCATGGAAACAATTAGTCCTAGTGACTGGTACACCATCCGATCTGCAGCCTATACAACTATGAGACCAGAAGAAGTAGATGGTGTCCGGCTACCACTGTCATCCACTTGGAAGGGGATCTATGTAGGAGATCCTTGATAGAGAGGGAAAATAATGTGGAACAAAACTCAAAATCATTTGGAGGGGGGGAAGAAAAGGGGGGGGGGACCAGGTTTGCTGGTCTGATAGAGCCTGGTGGAACCACTGAGACTATGGCCCCTAGCTGCCCTTCAGGTCTGGAATAGAACCTGCACCTGTGGTTTCCAGCCAAACAAAATACAGGCATGTGAGTTAAACATTTACCTCAAGTAGATACACTCCTTGGAGAGAACAATCATGGGAGAAAGAAGGGCTTCTTATACATAGGGAGACAGCTCAGTGGGTAGGAGTGTATGGAGGGATGGACACTGGGAAGAAGTAACTATGGGGAGGAAGTGGGAGGGGAGCTGTTGCATTGTGGTCAATGACATGAGACAAAGTATATGTGAACTGCTGTATGGAAAGTGAATTTGCTCTGTAAATCTTCATCCAAATCACAATTTTTAAAAAAAAGAACTCAGCAAAAAAAAAGAAGAAATGGGCCTCTGCAGAGATGGGAGTGAGGTGACAAAGCCAGTCAGGGACTAGGTAGCGTGGGTGAGCGGGGAACGGCCGCCAGAGTGTAGCTGGCTTCGAAGCTGGGCTTCGTCCTGCCACCCCGTCCCCGGGCCTCTCACTCCAGCCTCCCTGTTGTCCGCAGGAGATGTGGGGAAGCAGCTTCCTGCATCACGGTAACCGCTGCTCCTGTTTCCATTGGCCGGGAGCCTCGCTCATGCTGCTGGCGGTGCTGCTGCTGCTGGGTTGCCACGGGAGCCAGCCAGCTGGGAGGTAAACAAGGCTCCCCGCAGCCCCTGGGGCGAGGCAGCTCCCCAAGCCCCCAGCCAGGGGCCGGCGCCTATGCAGCCCTGAGCTAGAACCACCGGGACAGCCAAGGGAGCCGACTCCGTCCTGTGACTGTGCCCGAGGCCTGGCTGGTGTCAGGACTCAGAACACAGCACTTTTCTGTATTTTTCTTTTGGTTTGGGTGAACCTTACAGAGCAGATCAGTTTTCCTGTTCAACAGTTCACACACATTTTGTTTCACGACATCAGTTCCAATCCTCTCCACGTAACAGCACTCTCCCGTTTCCTCCCTGGTTCCTCGTTTCTATTCGTCCTTCTCTCCTGCCCCTTCCTGCCTTCTGAGCTATTTTGGGCAAAGGCTGCCCTTTTGGTCTCATGTGGTTGATTGTTCTGAGGAACACTTCCTCTCATATGGTGCTGTTCACCTCGTAGGCCTGCCTGTCTGCCTGAAAGGTGAGCCCCAGGAAACATAACACTCCTGTCGGAAGGGTCTGGGGTGGGAAGGGGTATCTCAGACCCTGAGGGTTGGCTGGGTTGCAGAGTTGCTTTCTCTGGTGGAACAGTCCCTCCCTCTTCTGCCCAGCCATGGGGTGGAGCTGGTGAACGCCTCGGCACTGTTCCTGCTGCTGCTTCTCAACCTTCTCCTCATTGGGCGGCAAGATCGGCTGAAGCGACGGGAGGTGGAGTGGAGGCTCCGAGGGATCATTGACCAAATCCACAGTGAGCCCAAGGGTCCTGCAGGGCGGGTGGAAAGGGTGCCCTCGGAGGCGTCAGAGCCCCAGGCAGGCGGCCAGCTGTCCTTGAGCAGAGCCAGGGCAGCTGGGAAGGCTAATGGTGGCGGGAGACCAACAGAGAAGGGACATTGTTGGCAGGAGGGCAACGGAGAGTTTTTCTTCCCAGTCTGTGTTGTGTGGTCACACTGTGCCAGATGCCAGGAGAGGTGGGGAGATGGACAAGAGAAGTCTGAGATACCTGCAAGAACGGGGGTAGGGCAGAAGCCAGGAGCCCAGAGTTATGGATTGGTGGTGAAGTTAGGCTTCTGCTTTGGAAGCCTGTGGTCTTGTTAGGGGGCAGCACGTGCTCTGGGGGGACTTTCTCCAATAGTCCTGGCAATGGAGGGTCAACGGCTAGGTGAGACTTGGTCACTTTCTGAAACAATGAGTCAGGTGCCGTCCATGTGCCAGGCACTGGGAGTACAATAGTGACCACGGATGGTGGGCCCTGCTCTCCGACAACTTAGTCTCTAGCTCAGGAACCATCAGTGGCTCCCTCTTGCTGACCGGAGCCCTTCTAGATGCCACCACCCCTCCTCCAGCCCCTTCCCTCGCTGCTCATCCTCACGCTGTAATTCCTCGCTGAGTAATTACAGTGCTGACCCCACTGGTACGTCTGTGTCTCCCATTTCCTTCTGCTCTTCCTCTGCCTGCTGTGATTTTCCCTTGCTTGTCTCCCACAGACACAGTCCTGTCCACCCATTGAGGCTCACCTCAAACGTGCGTTTCCCTGGAGCCACCTCTGGTCGCCCCTCCCCAGATGCATCTGCTCCCTCTTTGTCCTCCCGTGACACTGATACCTTTCCTAATCTGCTAAGCGTGGGCCCACCTGGGTGGGGTCAGTCACCTGTGTCTCGGGTCCCCTGCTACATTGTAGGTCCTTGAGGGCAGGGACTGTGTTCCCATCATCGTTGCCCACTCTCAGGGCTCAGCAGTGTTTGCGAAGGGGTGCAGGTGGCAAGAGCTCCAGGGGTTGGGTGGAGGTGGCTGGGCTGGGCAGAAGGGAGGTGTTTGAGTGAATGGCGTGGAAGGAACGGCAGAACGCCGTGCACATGCTGGGCCTGGCTGCCTTGCGGGGCGGTGTGGAGCTGTGGGCGAGGAGGTGGCTTCCCTCTCTCCGTTTTCGTCAGATGCCCTGAGGGATGGCAAGGAGACCAAGTGGCCCGACGCCATGTACCCCGACCTCCACATGCCCTTTGCACCATCCTGGTCTCTGCACTGGGCCTACAGAGATGGACACCTGGTGAACCTGCCGGTCAGCCTGTTGGTGGAAGGTGACGTCATAGCCCTGAGGCCGGGCCAGGAGTCCTTCGCCTCTCTGAGGGGCATCAAGGTAGCTCCAGCTCTCCTCCTTCCCTGGGGACGTGGATGTGCCTGCAGGAAGTGGGATGAGGTCCCAGGGCTGGATCCCGCTGCTCCCTGGCCTGCTCCTGGGCTTCTTGGCAAGGGCTCTAGAATGGAGCAGGATAGGACGTCCCCCTCCTTACCTGTCCTTTCGCCTCTCACTCCACAAGCCCCTCGGACTGCAGTCCCACAGGCCCCACTGACCCTGTGCTCATGGTCTCTGTGACATGCCCCCCTGTAGTCAGAAGGATCCAGTAGAGCCTTTAATCCCCCGCCCACCTCCCTCTTTCTGGCAGGATGATGAACACATCGTCTTGGAGCCAGGAGACCTGTTTCCCCCTTTCTCTCCACCCCCTTCCCCCCGGGGAGAAGTGAAGAAAGGGCCTCAGAATCTCCAGCAGCACCGCCTCTTCCGTGTCCTTGAGACCCCTGTGATTGACAGCATCAGGTAGGGTGTGGCCCTTGCCACTCCGCAGCATCTCCTCTTCACGGTGCCCCCAGAACAGGGCGCTAGGGTTGGCAGGGAAGATACCTTGTTCATGTGGGGCCTCGGGTGTCTCCTGGGGCTCTTCTCTGTAGCTTCTTGGGGGCATTCTTAGACTAGGTGAGTGATCCCCTCCCCATAGCAGCTCTGAGGGCACTGAGGTCTGGAGGCTGGCCAGCCATCCGCCACTCTCCCAGGGGCCCACTCAGCCAGGGCCGGGCCAGAGCAGGGGATTCCAGGACCTGGTGGTGCTCCATGAAGTAACATCTGCCCAAGAGACCAAGAGTCCTTCCAAGGAGGGGGTCTGTGGCCTATCCCCTGTGCGGGCCTGAGAGTCGCCTCTTGCTGCAGATGGTGCCTGGACATGGCCCTGTCCCGCCCGGTCACTGCCCTGGACAACGAGAGGTTCACCGTACAGTCGGTGATGCTGTGCTGTGCCGTGCCTGTGGTCCTGGTGTGTGAGGCGGGCCCTCAGGCAGGGGGAGGGCCCGAGAGTGGGAGACTGGGCTTTTCCTAGCCTCAGGCAGGTGGGAGTGAAGACGGGGGTCCCTGGATGAGCCAGCCACCTGGGGAGGTGTGAGTGGGCGAAGGAAGGGGAGCCTTGGCACCTGGCCTTGGTCTCTCTCGGATGGTGTTAAGGCTGTGCCCCTCCTGTGCCCACTAGGCCGGCTTCCTCATCACCAATGCACTGCGCTTCGTGTTCAAGGCCCCCGGGGTGACCTCCTGGCAGTACACTCTACTCCAGCTCCAGGTAGAGACTGCTTTTTCCTTCCCGTTGTGCTGTTCTCTTCCTGAGAGGGTGGCTCTGTCCCCTCGAGCTGCCCTGACTGTCCCTCCCTCTCTGAAGCTCTGAGGGCTATCTCTCGAGCTTCAGCTTAAGAACTCCTCTTTTCCTTCCCTTCCGGCCCCAGACAGCTGCCCTGTCTCCTCTGGGCGCATGGCCAGGGAAGCACTTCCCTCCCTCCGTGTTCCCTCTGGGCCAGCAACTCCTCGAGGGCCTTCAGTGTGGCCCTGTCTTCCGTAGGTGAACGGTGTCCTGCCCATCCTCCCCCTGCTCTTCCCAGTCCTCTGGGTTCTGGCCACTGCCTGTGGAGAAGCCCGTGTCCTGGCCCAGATGAGCCAGGCCTCACCAAGCTCCCTGGTAGGTTCTTCGAGGGCAGGAATGAAGGGGGAGTTGGCTGTGCTCCGGAGAGAGGAGGCAGGAGTCCAGCCCTTGGGGTCAGTTCACTGGAGGCTCTAGGCAGCTCTCTGAGGCTGCAGTCCCTCCATTCTGGAATAGCCTCCAGGCCAGGCCTGAGTGTGAACACTGTCCTGCTCTCCCCAGATGGGGGATGCAGGGACAGCCCGGGTGTCCCTCCCTAAAGGGGATGGAGCTATGGAGCTGGCTGGCGCAGGGGCCCTGCCCCTGCAGCTGGGGGCCTGTGTGAAGGTGGTGCTTTCCTTACACCGAGACCATCACCCCTTTCTCTGCACAGCTGGCCAAGTTCTCAGAGGACACTCTCAGTAGCTATACGGAGGTTGTCTCCTCTCAGGTACGCTTCCTTGGGGTGATTCTGCCCCCCTCAGGTATGTGGACTCGGGATAACTGCCCCAGGCCCTGTGGCCGTAAACATGAGCTCCTTCAGCCTCTTCCCGGGACCCCACCTGATGGCCTTCCAGCTTCTAGTTGGGCCCTTGAAGCCACCAGTCCCCCATCTCATGGACACACCCAGGCCTGGGTCCTGGCCTTGCAGACACGTCTCCACCCCAACTTCCTAATGCTCTCCCAGCTTTCCCTCTTTTGGCCCCAGAAGCATCTGCAGGGCAGAAGGGCCAAGCCCCATACAGCCTGACAGACCTTCTCTCCCACCAGGAAATGCTGCGCTGCATTTGGGGCCACTTTCTGAGGGTGGTCCAGGGGACGTCACCAACGCTGAGCCACAGTGCCAGCCTGCTGCACAGTCTGGGCTCCGTCACGGTAAGTGGGGCCTGTCGGGAGGTGCCTCCACCCCAGGCCTCCTCCTGGCTGTGTCAGATTGCTCCTGCCATATATAAGTGACTCCTGGAGGGGCAGCTGATATCAGGGCCCCTTCCCAATCCTGGTCACTCTCCCTACAGGTCCTGTGCTGTGTAGACAAGCAGGGCATCTTGTCGTGGCCAAATCCCAGCCCTGAGACGGTGTTGTTCTTTAGTGGGAAGGTGGAACCCCCGCACAGCAGCCACGAGGACCTGACGGATGACCTGTCCACACGCTCTTTCTGCCACCCCGAGGTAGAGGAGGAGGTACGGCCGGCTCCCAGGGGCTGCCCTTGGAGCCTGGCCAGTGACCTCAGGGAGGGGGAGCTGTAGGAGGGAGCGGGAGGGCTCAGGTACCATTGGGATCAACTTCTGAGTAGTTAAGGCAAAGCCACAGCCAGGACAGTGAGGGGCCAAGAGCCAACTTCCTCCTCGTCCAAGAGCCAGTGGACGTGGTCCCAAGCCGGTGCTCCTTGCTCTCTTCAGCCCCACGAACGAGACGCCCTCCTGGCCGGCTCACTGAACAACACCCTGCACCTTTCCAATGAACAGGAGCATGGCGACTGGCCCAGTGATGGCTCCAAGCCCCCCGAGCCCCACTCTCACCACAAGCTGCACAGGCCACACAGCCGCAGCAAACACCCATCGGGCTCCAACGTGAGCTTCAGCAGAGGCGCCGAGGGCGGGGACGAGGAACCCAGCCAGGTGAGGGGCAGAGGCAGAGAGTGCAGCCACCTCGGCCAGCCAGAGTGTCACGGCCCCGGCTCGGGCCTCGTCCCCGCCAGGGCTGGTAGAGCCTGAGTGAGCAGAGGTGACGCCCTCCCATCCAGAGCCCCGAGGTTTGTACTCAGGGCCACCTCCTGGGCCTCCCCACCTTGCTTCTGTAATTGGGCCCATGTCCCCCTCTCTAGGCCTCGTGGAAGGCAACTGGCTAGGGGTAATCCCTTGTCTAAGGAGCCCTAGTGGCACAGTGGTTAAAGCAGTCGGCTGCTAACCAGGAGGTCAGCAGTTTGAACCCACCAAACACTCTGCAAGAGAAAAATGTGGCATTCTGCTTCTGTAAAAATTACAGCTTTGGAAACCCTACGAGGCAGTTGCACTCTGTCTTTCAGGGTTGCTATGAGTTACTGACTCCGTGCTTTGGGCTTTTTTGGTTAAAGATGAAGCCAGTGATGCCCTCAAAGATACCTTCCCGTGGCTGAAAAAGATCCTTTATTGTCTCTTCCTCGGTCTGGTCATCCCTCCTTTTAGGTGTGACCAGTGTCATCTCTGGGCCTCTCCTGCAGACCAGAGGACCAGTCTGGATATAGAACCAGACTGGAGCCCGCGGAAGGTACCAAGAAAAAACAAACTCACTGCCATTGAGTCACTTCGACTCATGGCGACCCCTCCTTGGGTTTCCGAGGTGGTATCTCTATGGAAGTAGATTGCCCAACCTTCCTTCCGAGGAGTGGCTGGTGGGTTTGAACCACCAGCCTTCTGCTTAGCAGTCATATGCCTTAGGCACCAGAGCTCCTACCCAAGGAGGGTAGGACGAGGGTTTTGGGAGAAGGAACTCTCTGCTGGGAAGGACATGCTTTATCTCAGGACCAGCCCCTTCCCCACCTTGGGAGGAGGGGGAGCCCGAGCTACTCCTGGCAACCCTCCCAGTCTGTCTGAGGCGTCCTCCTCCCCTCATGTGTCCCCCCGACCCAGCCTGGGATAGAAGGTGAGTCCTACGAAACCGACGACTTCGTGTGTGACTACCACCTGGAGATGCTGAGCCTGTCCCAGGATCAGCAGAACCCCTCCTGCATCCAGTTTGACGACTCCAATTGGCAGCTCCACCTCACCTCTCTCAAGCCACTGGGCCTCAACGTGCTGCTGAATCTGTGCAACCCCAGCGTCACTGAGCGGCTGTGCCGGTTCTCAGACCACCTGTGCAACGTGGCCTTGCAGGAGAGCCACAGCGCTGTGCTGCCCGTGCACGTGCCTTGGGGCCTCTGCGAGCTGGCGCGCCTCATCGGTACGGCCCTGCGGGCAGCCGGCGGCCAGCTTCTGGTCACTGCCCTTCGAGCTGTCACAGCCATGTGGGGAGGAACTGGGTGTTGGGATGGAATGGTGGACAAGCCAGCCCGGGCTGCCCAGACCTCTGTCCGTGCTGGGAGCCTGTTTCCTCCTGGAGCCCTGAGTGCCCGCTGCCCTTCCTGCAGGCTTCACTCCGGGGGCCAAGGAGCTCTTCAAGCAGGAGAACCACCTCGCACTGTACCGCCTCCCCAGTGCCGAGATGGTGAAGGAGACGTTGCTGGGGCGGCTCTCCTGTGTCACCAAGCGGCGCCCTCCGCTCAGCCACATGATCAGCCTCTTTATCAAGGACACCACCACCAGTGAGCCCCTGCCCCACCCCACCCCCTGCCCCTGGCCCAGCATCGGACCAGGCCTTTCGGGAGCTTGCCAGGGAGTGGCTCTGCCTCCTCATCCGTTCTATTAGCAGGCTCCTCCTGAGGTCTCTGATGAAGCAGGGGTTTGGACTTGGAAACGGGCTAGGAGGGTGGGATAATCTGATGCCTGGACCCACTGGGGCTGACACTGTAGTGTCTGTGTCACAAGCTTGGCAGCAGGGGCTGTGCGGGCATCCCCTAAGGGCTTGTCGACGCAGGGCCTGCTGAGCGCCCACGACCCAGGGCTCCGTAGCACCCTTGTTGACAATGGCGGTATGTCTCCGGCGAGGTCAGGCAGGTCGGGGTGGCTTGGAATGCCCATGGGCTTGGTCTCCTTCCCTACACCTGTCAGGCACAGAGCAGATGCTGTCCCATGGCACGGCTGACGTGGTCTTGGAGGCCTGCACAGACTTCTGGGATGGAGCTGACATCTACCCTCTCTCTGGGTCCGACAGGTGTGTGAGGAAGGAGAAGTGGGGGACCCGTCAGCAAGCCAGTCTGCCCGTACCTCCTGTGGCCTGGCGCCATGCCAGGAGCAGGCCCCTCACCTCACTCCCACCCTGCTTCTCTGGCAGAAAGAAAGTGCTGGATTTCTACCAGCGTGCCTGCCTCTCTGGTTACTGCTCCGCTTTCTCCTACAAGCCCATGAGCTGCACCCTGTCCTCCCAGCTCAATGGCAAGTGCATTGAGCTGGTGCAGGTACCCGGCCAGAGCAGCATCTTCACCCTGTGTGAGCTGCCTGGCACCGTCCCCATCAAGCAGAACAGCCGCCGCCACAGCTGGAGCTCCGATGGTACCTACCGGGAGTGACCCCTAGGCCCGGGAGGCCTCTGCAGGGCCTTGATTGAAGCCACAGGGGCAGGGGCCACAGCCCTGGGCCAGCAGGTCACTTGTCTATCAATAGGTGCCTGCCTGCCCTCCTCAGGTCTGTGTTCTCAAATAGGATCCTGGCTGCAAAGGTGCTCTGCCTGAAAGCCGTAAGGCTAAAGCAGTGTGCATCCACAGACCTCTGTCTTTGTCAGGATCCTAGTGGCCACAGGCCCTGCAGGAGAAGCTCTACCTCCCCCACCCCTCCCCACTCTGCCAAATACACAAGCCTGTGGGGTCTTCTGAACCCGGGAGAGCATGGGTTGAAGCAGTTCTGAGAGTGGGGAGCAGGGCTGGGAGGAGTGGGGTCCACCCTGCTGTGACCCCAGGACTGCCACGTGACTGACGAGGACTTTCCGTTGTGTTTTCTCCCATGTCTGTTGGCTGTGTGTGTGCAAATACGCGTTGATGTGGGTGTGGCCTGTGTGTGTGTATGCATGCGTGTCTGGGCTGCCTCTGGGATCTCCTGGTCCCCGGGTGTGGTGAAGAAGGGATCGGGGAGGCTCTGGAGAAGGAGGACTGCATGCAGGCCCTGAGTGGGCAGATCTTCATGGGCATGGTGTCGTCCCAGTACCAGGCCCGGCTGGACATCGTGCGCCTCATCGACGGGCTGGTCAACGCCTGCATCCGCTTTGTCTACTTCTCCCTGGAGGATGAGCTCAAAAGCAAGGTGGGTGGCTGCCCCCGGCTGCCCCTGCTCCCCTCCGGGTCCTGAGCCCATCTCACTCTCCCCTCTGCTTTCTGCAGGTGTTTGCAGAAAAGATGGGCCTCGAGACAGGCTGGAACTGCCACATCTCCCTCACGCCCAATGGGAACATACCCGGCTCTGAGATCCCACCCTCTAGTCCTAGCCACACGGGCTCCCTACACGACGACCTGAACCAGGGTGAGGCTTGGTGGGGGATGCTTTCTTTCCTTGGAGCTTCAGCTCAGAGCAGTCTTCACAGCTCCTTACAATAAGCGGCTCTGATCTCCCTGGGTAACAACAGTCAGGCAGGCAGGGGAGGCACAGAGGCCGGCAGGCACCTGCAGGGCAGGGCAGGGGCCCCTACAGGCTGGCCCTGAGGTGAAGGCCTGGTGTTTGCCCCTCCAGTGTCCCGAGATGATGCAGAGGGGCTTCTGCTGATGGAAGAGGAGGGGCACTCAGACCTCATCAGCTTCCAGCCCACAGACAGCGACATCCCCAGCTTCCTGGAGGACTGCAACCGGGTATGACAGAACGTCAGCTGGCGAGGACAGGGTGGGCTGGCCAGAGGGAAGGGACATGGGCCAGAGCCTCCCCTCATCCTGAGGCCGCGGGCCTCTGCCTGCTCCAGGCCAAGCTGCCCCGAGGGATCCACCAGGTGCGGCCCCACTTGCAGAACATCGACAATGTGCCCCTGCTGGTGCCCCTCTTCACCGACTGCACCCCCGAGAGTGAGTACCCTTCCCTCGGCACTGCCAGGGCTCGGGCCCCCCGTGCTCTGGAGGTGAGGCTGGCTTCCCACGAGAGGAGCGTCCTGGGCTGGGGGCAGATGGGGATTGTGGGGTGGAGCCATGGGCATGCCCATTCCAGAGTCAGAAGTGACAGTGTTCGTGCTGTGGAGGAGGGGGTGCCATTGCCCCAAGGAGGGGCCGCTTCCCTTTGTCTGCTGACCTCTGGGCCTCTGCCCGGCAGCCCGTGGCCTGTCTGACTCTGTCCTCCACTCTGCCCACAGCTATGTGTGAGATGATTAAGATCATGCAGGAGTACGGGGAGGTCACCTGCTGCCTGGGCAGCTCTGCCAACCTGCGCAACAGCCGCCTCTTCCTCCAGAGTGACATCAGGTCTGGGAAGGGGTGCAGGGAGGGGATCCAGCCAGACTCAGGGCTGCATGGCGGGTGCATACCCCATGGTGCCCGGGCGTGCTGGGCAGAGGAGGGTCGGAGCTCAGTGCTGTGCGGCCAGGCTTGCCAAAGAGTGCCGCTGATGTGTGCGCCTCGCCCCGGGAGCAGCATCGCCCTGGACCCCCTGTATCCGTCCCGGTGCTCCTGGGAGACCTTTGGCTACGCCACCAGGACCAGCGTGGGCCAGGCCTCGGATGGCCTTTCCCCGCTGCGGCTCTCGGGGCAACTCAACAGCCTGCCCTGCTCCCTCACCTTTCGCCAGGAGGAGACCATCAACATCATCCGGCTCATAGAGCAGGTGGGGGCCCGGGAGTGCCGGCTGGGGGGTGTCGGGGAGTCCGGGGTGGGGCGGGACCCAGGGTCTGTGCTTGTCCTCAGGAGCCTCCTCATGTCGGCTTGGAGCCAAGCTCTGCCTCTGCCCCTTCCTAGCAGGAACCTTGTTAGGCCTCTGGCTCTTGGCGGAAGCTTGTCAGCTGTGGGGCCTGAGAGGGATGTAACCTGTCTCTTTCGGTCCCAGGCTCGGCATGCCACCTATGGCATTCGTAAGTGCTTCCTCTTCCTGCTGCAATGCCAGTTGACACTTGTGGTCATTCAGGTGAGTGGGGCCGGCCCAGGCAGTGGCCCTTCTCCGCTTGCTGGCTCTGGTGCTCAAGGGCTGGGTGAGAGTCGGGGAGGGGCTGGGAGGGAGGCAGCACAGTCACGGGGTCCCCTGGGTCTCTCTAGCGACGGTCCCCATTGGCAGAAGGGTGTTCTCTGCCCCAGCTCCTCTCAGCCAGGACAGGGTGAGGCAGCCTGGGAGCCCCCAGGGTCTATTTGCCAGAACCTGATTCTGGGTCTGGCTCTTTCCTGGTCTAGTTCTTGTCTTGTCTGGTTCAGCTGCCCCCACTCCTGAGCACCACCGACATCCTGTGGCTGTCCTGCTTTTGCTACCCTCTGCTCAGGTGAGAGGCTGTGCAGCTCTGCCGTGCCAGGCTGGGGTCAGGGTCCCGCTGAAGATGCCCAGGCAGCCCCAGGTGCTCTGCATAGGAGGCGCTGGGAAGAACCCTCCTCCTGTTCTTGTCCCATCTCCCCACCAGTCTTCCTAAGACTCCCTAAAGTCTTCCCAAAGGGAATCGGGAGACAGAGGACCATAGTCTCTGACTTGTCACCCAACCTCTGTTTTCAGCATCTCTCTGCTGGGGAAACCCCCTCATAGCTCCATCATGTCGATGGCGACAGGGAAAAACCTTCAATCCATTCCTAAGAAAGTAAGCAAAGTGGGGGCTCTGTGAGCCTGGGCCTTTCACTGGGGAATGTGTGCCAGGAGGAGGCTGGCCTAACCCGAACTCTCTGGAAAGATGAGGATGGGGAAGCCATCAGAACTGGGAAGCCCGTCACTTGGTTCCTGGTTCTCGCTCAGATCAAAGAGGTGGTGACAGAGCCGAGAAGGATCCTTGCTGGAGCAGGGTGGGCCTGCTCCTTGTCTCCTCACACTTGGGGCCACACGCAGAAGCTGCCGGGTGCTGGGGATGGTGCCTGGACAGAGCGTGCTCCCCTTCTTCCCGCAGACCCAGCACTACTTCCTGCTCTGCTTCTTGCTCAAGTTCAGCCTCACTGTCACTTCCTGCCTCATCTGCTTCGGCTTCACGCTTCAGAGCTTCTGCGACAGCTCCCGGACCCGCAATCTTACCAACTGCTCCTCCATCATGCTGCCCAGGTGGGTGCACCCTCCCACGGCTCCTCCCACCCACCCTGCCCGCCTCCCTCGGCCCCAGTGGAGGCTGAACCCACATCTGCTTTGGCAGCAACGCAGACACGGCTCCAGGCTGGCTCGAGGACTTTGCCAACGGATTGCTGCTGGCCCAGAAGCTCGCCGCCGCCTTGATTGTCCTGCACACTGGTGAGGACCCCCTGGGAGTGGGGACAGCAAGGGCTGCTCAGCCTCAGTGACAGCTGGGGGCAAGGCCCAAGGGCAGCTTCTGGTGGGGGCAGTCCTGACAGCCCCGTCGGTCCCCTTCTCCGCAGTGTTCATCTCCATCACTCATGTGCATCGCACCAAGCCCCTATGGAGAAAGAGCCCCCTGACTAACCTCTGGTGGGCCATGACGGTGCCTGTGGTGTGAGTGTCACAGGGATGCGGGGGTGGGGAAGGAGGAGGAGTGGGGCTTCTGGAGGGTTTGCAGGGGAGGTTCCACGGGCCCTCCCTGAGCTCATTTTTGTGTGGAGAAAGGCAGGGAGGAAGGCTCAAGGTTCACGCAGTCCTGCCCTCTCCTACAGGCTGCTGGGCCAGGTGGTGCAGACAGCGGTGGACCTGCAGCTATGGACGCACAGGGACAGCCGTGTCCACTTTGGCCTGGGGGACGTGCCTCTGCTGACCTGGCTCCTGGGCTGCCTCTCCCTCATACTTGTGGTGGTCGCCAACGAGGTAGTGAAGCTGCATGAGATCCGGTGAGCAGGACTCCTTCAAGGTCACCTTCCCAGCAGCATCCCCCACTGCCCAGCCCTGATCTGAGGGTCTGCCCTGATCTGAGGATCTGCCCTAATCTGCACGTCAATCTCTTGCCCCACAGGGTCCGGGTCCGCTACCAGAAGCGACAGAAGCTGCAGTTTGAAACGAAACTGGGCATGAACTCGCCCTTTTGAGCCATTGGCCATGGTGGTCACTGCTGCCCCAGCTTACGGGGCTGAGCCAGATCTGTCTCTGAGGCTGAGGAGTTCGTATCATGAATGTTGCAGGGTTGCTGTTGGGCACCTTAAACCAACCAGATGCTGGGGACTAGAGGCCCAGGTCCCGGCTCAGGCCAGATGTCTTCCGGACCCCGGCATTTACCGCGGAGAGCCTTGGAGCCTCAGCCTCTCCCCGGGGATACTCCTGAATGTGTGGCCTCGTGTGCTTGGTAGAGGGCCTCCACTCCCTGCCCCTGCAGGCTGCCCCCTTCAGGGTCCCCAGCAAAGCCTTCTCTGCTCTTGCCTGTACGGGCGGCACCTCGAGCTGTTGGCCCTTGGCCGTGGCAGCAGATGTATGCCCTCCAGGCTGGGCTGGTGAAGGCCGGGCTATGGTGCCTCCCTGCACCCTTGTCCACTCTCCCTGGGCAGTCTGGCCAGGGTCCTGCTTTCCACTTCAGCAAGAGGATGGAGCAGAGCCCCACAGCTGAGCCCCTCCACTGTGCTGCCCTCAGGCCACTGGGTCCTGGGGCCGAGGTCAGCCCTACCCCCCCTCCGTTGTGAGAATGATTCATGCTGGTGTATTTTCTACTGGAAATGAGCCTTTTAGGGATGAATGTAGATGGTTTGTATTAAACTTGTAAATTGCTTAAGAAAAGCCTGTGGCTGGTGCGGAAGTCTGCCACTCAGGACCCTGCCTAAGGCCCGGTGAGGGGCCCCCAAAGGCAGGAGGGGAGGGTCTACACCATCCACTCTCCATTCACCTTGGTGGGGCCCTTAGTCAGGCTCAGGTGCGATCTTGGGCCCTAGATCCCTGGCACAGATGCGAACACACAAATGCAAACGCGGAATGACACTTTCATTGGTGTTAGTTGAGAGGGGGAGGTTAATGGTTACAGAGCCGGGGCCTGGGCCCAGCAGGTCCAGCCTCCAGCCCCGAAGGGGACAAGGTGCTCTCGCTGTGGCCCAAAGACCCTCCTATTGCGTCCTCTCAGTTAATAGATAGAATAAATTCCATTTAAAATATACGCATTTCTCTCTGCTTAAAAATAATATTTACAGTTGAAAAAGCATGGGCTTTTGAGATCGGGGTCCTCTAACCTCCTGCCTCACACTCCCGCTGGCTCTGCCATCCAGCTGAGGGGCAGGGGCTAGCCTGGGTACTGCCACGGCCACTGCAGGCCCGTCCCTGGCCTCTTGTTCACGTGCTGTACGTGCAGCCGTGGGGAGAAGCCTGGCAGGCACCAGGGCTGAGGCTGGGCAGTCCCCACGGCTTCCTGCAGCCCAGGCCACACATAGGAGACGTGAGGGGGCAGAGGCCGACCCCAAGATTTGCCACATCCCTCTCCTGAGGAGCAAGGTCTTCCCAGGGCTGGGGTTCGATTACACGGGGGCTGGGGAGGGTCTGCTGAGATGCTACCAAAGCTTCTCAGCTGGTCAGTTTCCAGCAAGTCTCCCGGCCCGGCGGCGGCGGCTGCCCCACCATAACTGTAGTGTTGACAGCCGCTGGCCTGGTGAAGCAGGATAGGGCCCTGCTAGGGAGAGGCTCCAGCCCCGGCCAGCCCTCTGTCTCTCCTTTTGGTGGCAGGAGCTCCTTCTGTGCTGGGACAGTGGATGCCACAGGTGGAAGTGGACCCAGCTCAGTCCAGCATGGCGTCTAGCTGGTCGGCCAGGGCGTCGAACATGGTGCTGATGTCATCCAGAATGTGTTTGGTGGAGAGCCCAGGGGGGCTGCAGGGAGGGCAGGAGCTCACTCAGGTGCTGCTGCTTCCGGCCTGTGTCCCATCACCCCGGGAAGGAGCGAACTGTCCCCAAGGCCCCGATCCCCACACCCACCAAGGCAGGAGTGGCCATCACTCCCTGATGGACACGCTCACCAAGGATGCTGAGCCCAAGTGCATGTGCCCCTAAGTGGCCGCCTCCCTGCAGCTCAGGTCTGGCAGCTTGAGCACCTGGGCTCCTGTTGCACAGCGTGGCGCCCCCATCCTGGGGCTCTGCTGAGACCTGCCCTCACCCCCACATTCCCGAGCTGCGGGGTCCCCAGGAAAGGCCGTCTCTCCCACCCCGCCCAGCCCCTCACCCGGCCTGCTCCTCAGTGCCGATGGTCTTCTCCGCCACCCTCAGTGCCGCAGCCAAGGACGAGCTGGTCTGTTCCAGTCTCCGCTGGGCCCGGCCTGTGCCCGCAGCCACCGTACTCTCGGGCCTTGGTGGGGGCATTGGGCGGGGGCCGAGCCGGGGAGCCAGCTTCGGGCCAGAGAACGCCAGCTGGGTGCAGGCCACAGACACAGGCTTGGGGGCTGTACCTGCAGAGACAAGGGTGGCCTTTGATTGGCCTGGCTGGACGTACCCCTGCAGACAATGTCCTCTCCCCATAGGCCTCTATCTCCTACCTGCTCCAGGCACCTTGATGAGGGCCGTAGGGGCTGCTGGGGGCTCTGTCTCCCCGTTGTTGCTGCCTGTTAAGTGTTCCAGGCCTGGCCTGGGGCAGGGGAGTACAGGCACGGACATAGTCACAGGGCTGGGAAATGGAGGGACTGCAGCTCCGGGGGCTGGGAGGCTGCTGGGGTCTGGGCTGGGAGGGGGAGAGGCTGAGGAGGGGGCCTCGCTGGGGGTCTGGGAAGTCGGGGGAGCTGGGGAGCCGGGCATGGCACTGGCCACCCCGAAGGCCAGCAGGGCCGTCTGCAGCGGCTCTCTCTCTCGGCATTTGGGCCTCCGCTTAACAGTGTCTGACTCTGTGAGGTTGAAATCAAGGCCAGGGGGCACGGGTGTCTCTCGGGTGGGGGGCCCAGCTGGCTTTGGACGCTGTTTGATGGTCAGATTTCCCTCTTCGGCAAATGGCAGCCCTTCCCCCGAGCTGCCCCGAGATGGGGGTGTCCCCTCAGGCCCTGGCTCCTCCTCCTCCGTGTCTGAGGCAGGGCCTGCTGGGGCCGGTGGGTCAGGGGGCTCCGCGGGGCCAGCTGGTTCGCTCAGTGTTCGCCTTCGGGGCCCAGCGGCCCCTTCTGTGGGCCCGAGGTTCCCGTCCAGTGGGAGTGGCTCAGGGGAAGGGCCAGAGACAGAGCTGAGACGCTTGGGAGGTGGGGGTGGGGGTCCTTTGCGGCGGGCCCGGAGTGCAAAGGACTGACTGCGGGGAGCCCCTCGGGTGGGGGTGGGGCTGGGACTGGTCCGGGTGAGGGTGCTGCGTCCCGGTCGCCGAGTGAGGGTGGCATAGCTGCCCAAGGCACTGCCCACTGGCCCTTCAGCCTCCCCCTCGGTCTCCTCCTGGGCCGGGCCCGGCCGGCTCAGGCTGTGGGACCGCCGCTTGGGCCGAGGCGGGTCTGGGGGGGTGGCAGGGGGGCCAGCCAGGTAGGAGAAGGCCTGGGGTGCACTAGGAGGTGGCCCTGGAGCTGGGCTGGAGGGTGAGCCCTGGGGGTACATAAAGACATAAGGAGGGGGCCCTTGGCCAGAAAGTGGGGAGCAGAGCTTAGTGGGCCGCTCTATGCCTTCTGGAAGGTTCCTCTCCTGTGGGGTGCTGGGGTCTCCACCAGTGGGCTGGGGAGCCGGGTGCTCCTGTGAGTGACCGGACCCTCGTGAGCGTACCCCGATGCTCTCCTGGCTGGGGGAGCGGGCGGGCGGCAGGGGCAGTGGCTCAAGGCCACCCCCCGCCATGGCTGCTTGTAGCTCTGAGCTCAGCTCGCTGCCCTGGAAGGTGAGGAGGCGTGGGCCAGCGGCGACGGGGCCGTCCCCATTCTCCAGCCCCTCAATGGCCATCAGCTCCGGGCCCCCAGCCAGCCGACGCCCTCCTTCACCCGGCATCTCTCCCTGCAGCAGGCCCCGGCGGAGCTCCACCAGCCGTTTCACCCCCAGCATGAGCTTCTTCTGATGCCCTATGATGGGGAGAGAGGCGGCAGGGTTAGCGGGGCTGAGAAAAATCACCCTACGTCCTTCCTGAACCCTATTCTCCTCAGCCCGACCCTGAAAACTTTTTGGAGTCCCCCCAGTGGCACATGGGGGCCAGGCCCTCTCAGACCAGTCCTCACCAAGCTTGTTGACGCCAACCTCCTGCAGCTCCTCCCAGGTGAGGTCAGCCACCAGCCCCATGGAGTCGTAGCCGCTGTTTACCAGTTGCTTGTGGTACTGCGGCAGCCCCAGCGCACACAGCCACTCCAGCAGGTCCCCCTAGGAGAGCGTGCTGTCAGCGCTGGCTCCCGTCCCCCAGCAACCACACGGCCGGGGCGGGGGAGAGCCCGAGCCCCCCACCTGGCCGCCCCTCACCGGGATGTAGTTGGGCAGCCACTCGGCGATGTTGAGCTGGGCGATCTCGGAGGTGATCTTCTTCCTGTGCCCAGGCTTGGTCACCCCGATGGCCGTCAGGTCCTGCCACACAGGCTGCCCATCAGGCCCCCTCCTTGACCCACTGAGCCCTCCCAGGCCCCTCCCTGGCACGGCACCTACCTCGGGCGTCATGCGGCTGATGGTGGGCACATCGTAGCCAGCCTGCAGGAAGTGGGTCGTGTAGCTCTCCAGCTGGAACTCACTCAGCCAATTGTAAATGGCCTGGGCATCCTGGGGGGCAGAGGCAGAGGAGGCGGTGACGTGGAAAGGAGTCTCGCATACCGCCCTGTCTCCTCCATAGCCCTGCCCCGGAGGCCAGTCCAAGTAGGACTTATCCGTGCTAAGGCCCTGCCCACTCCCTCCACAGCCACCCCAGGGGGGCACACCTTCCCCTCCAGCAGCTGTTCTGGTCTCACATCCTGCGTGAAGATCTGCTCCCCAGAGTGGTAGTTGGCCAGGGGGTGGTGGCTCAGGTTGTCTTCAAGGAGGAAGGGAAATGGAATCAGAGATGGCAGGAGGAAGGGGTGCCTAGCCCTCGGCCTCCCCTGCCTCTCCCCGCTGCCCTGACCCCTGTGCCCTTCCTACCTGCCAGGGGCAGGGGGTGCAGCCCTGGTAGTGCCTGCTCCTCCGCAGCAGAGGGCAGTGGCTAAAGAGGAGGAAGAACTGACTTAGCATTTGGTAACCTGGTAGCTGGGGTTGGTCCTGGCGGGTGTCCAATTCTGCTCCCCCCTACCTGGGCATTCTCAATAAGGAGGCCGGTGCTGTGGCCGTTGGTGCCCTCGGAGCTCTGCCCGCTGCCGGCACTGCGGATGCTGCCCACACTGCCCTCGCTGCCCACGCTGTTCCTGTCACCTGCTGCAGGGGGCAGAGGCAAAGGGTTAGAGCCTCAGCTGGCCCTGCCAACAGCTGCCAGGCAGCTCGCCAAAGCCAGATGCCCACACCGGTGCCAGCGCCACCCTGTGGGAGCACATACCGGGGCTATCTGGGCTGAGACCCACTCGAGGGAGTTGGCCACAGGAGAGCAGGTCATCAGCTGGGGTCTGCAGTGTCCTGGAGAAGCCGGGGCGCAGGGGGGCAGGCGCAGAGGGGAGGCGGAGGGTGGGGATGCCCACCCGCTTGCTGACCACCTCGACGATGCCTGGAGGGAAGTAGCCCACGCGGTCGGTGCCCCTGTGGCTCTCATGGATGTGGCCCTTCCAACGGCCGTCGGGATGCTGCTCCAGTACCTGCAGCAGGTGGGACGGTCACTGCCTGCCCCGAGCACAGCGCCTGGTACACAGTCGGTGCCAAATAGGGAACAGGGCCATTTGTCTCCGCACAGGACTCCTGTGCTGGGTCCCTCACCGTGATGACATCCCCGGCCCGGACATTGAGGGCAGTGGGGTCGTGCAGGTTCCAAAAATCCTTCAGTGCCCGTACCTTCAGGATCCCAGAGGCCTCTAAGAAAAGGGGGAGGACGTCCGTCACCTGAGGGTTCTCAGGGCACCTTCTTGGCCCTCCTGTTCCCTTCACGCGCCGCCCCCCATGCTCCAACCCCACCTTTCCCTGCAGCATGCCCCTGTGACCAGCCCCAGGCCCGGAGGGTGACAGCCCACCCCTACGTATCTGCTGCCCCTCCGCTTCCAGGCATCTACAGCGGCAGCCCCAGGCACCTCCCGCTCCCCCTCCACTGAAGCCCAGCTGGGTCCGCCCTGCCACTGACCCCGAAGGAGCTGCTTGATTTCCCGGCTGGCTTGGGAGGTGGTGAACTGGTTCACGATGTCCAGTGCTGTCTGGTTGTACGTGTTCCGGATATTCACATCTACCCCGCCCTGCACACAACACAGCAGCTGAGTGCCTGCCGAGCTCTTGACCTGTCACCTCTCCCCGACACGTCCCCACCACCCTAGAGCATTTTCAAATATTACAGGTGACAACAGAGACAGGGTTAAGGGCTGTTAAGGTCACCCAGCCGGCCAGAGGCAGAGCCGGGACCAGAGCCAGGCCAGTCTAGCTGGATCTGGCAACCTTAGCCCCGGCCTCGGTGCCACTCACAGGGAAGTTAAGTTTCGTCCATGCGAGACTCCTCCATGCTTGCTGTGGCGGCCTCCCTCCCGCATCGTCCCCAGTCCCACCCCATGCTGCCAGCCGCTCTTGGCACACAGAAGGGCTTAGTGGACACCTGCTGGGTGGCCTGGCAGTGGGTGCGTCTCTGAGGCTCACACCCACCTCCAGGAGCAGCCGCACCACCTCAGTCTTGCCGTACAGAGCCGCCTCGTGGAGGGCTGTGCCGGTCTTGGTCTGGCGATTTATCTCAATCCCAGCCCTCAGGAGCTGCCTGTGGTGGGGACAGTGAGTCATCAGGGTGGGGGTGGGGGAGAGTGTAAGACAGGAAGCCACGGTGAAGCTGGAAGATGTTCTCCAGCCAGGGCAAAGAGGTCAACGGGGGGGGGGGGCTCTGAGGGGTCACTGATGGTGCCACAGGAGGGTGAGGAGGAAGCGGGGGTGCCAGCAGGTACCTAATGACCTCTCTGTGGCCGTTCTTGGCAGCCAAGTGCAGGGGCGTGGTGTAGTTGGGGTCACACGGGTCCTTGGCCTCACCCTCTAGCAGTGCTACACACAGGTGGCTGTTTAGGAGCAGCTGTGTCACCTAGAACAAGCAGCACCCAGTTACAGCCTTCTCCCAGGCCCCCAGGTGCCTAGGACCTGACATCCCTGGGGCTGCGGGCCTCACCTTAAGCCGCCCAAACTCACAGGCCAGGTCCAGGGGCGTCTTCTTGGCCTTGCTGACCAGACAGGGGTTTGACTGGTGCTGCAGGAGCATCTCTGACTGGGGTCGGGGGAGCCAGGGGCGCCAGGTGAGCCAGGCCAGCCCCCATGCCACCCTGGCCCCCTCACCCTCAGCCCTTGTGGGGGGCTCCCGTACCACTTCATAGTGTCCGTACTGCGCAGCCAAATGCAGCGGGATCTGCCCATCCAGTGAGGCAGCGTTGACAGCCGCAGAGGCCCGCAGCAGCAGCCTCACAGGCTCCAGCCGGCCTTGCCAGGCTGCATAGTGCAGCGGGCGCATGCCTGGTGGGAGGGAAGGGGTTTCTGAGGGAGGAGTACAATTCTACTCTAACACACAAGTCAGGGTCCACCCTACAGCCACCGGTTTAACAATGCGCCCAGAGCGAGCCCTCTGACCCCAGCATCTCACCGTTGCTGTCCTTGATGTCAACGGTGGCCTGAGCCTCCAGCAGCAGAGCAATGAGCTCCAGGCTGCCCCCCAAGGCAGCGTGGTGAAGCGCAGAGAATCTGGCATATGGGGGACCAGGGCGGGGGTGTCAGTGAGCAGCCCCACCCCCCAAATCCTGGTCTTCCACACCCCATCTCCATCGCTGGGGCTGGCAGGGTGGGTGACTTGCCCACTGTGGCCTGCCATCCCCCCCGCCCCTCCCCGCCACCCGCCCAGCCGTGGGAGCGCAGCTCAGGCCGGGGATGAAAGGGCCCAGTGTCTGCCGCTCAGAGGCCTGTTTGTCTGCGTCCCCCCAGCCGGCCCAGGGGAGGGGCCGTGGGAGCAGGGCCCGAGGGCTCCTACCCTCCAGGGAGAAAAGGGGGCCTAGTGGGAATCTGACCTTAGGAGGCCCCTCGGAGAGGCACCAGGGCCCCTGCCCCAAGCTCAGGGCCAGTTCCATAGGTGGGTCGGCAGGACCCATCCCTCGCACCCTATCCAGGCAGGGCTGAAGCTCTCAGCAAACACACTTCAAGGATCAAGTCTGACCTCAAGCCCCAGGGTCTTTCCTACCCCCACTCCCCCAGGAACCCCTACAGCTCCTGGAAGGGGGGCTCTCACTCACCCATCAGCATCTTGGTAGTTCACGTTCAGTTTCTTGGTGGAGCCGAGGAGCTCTGGAGTCAAGGTGAAGGAGGTCAGGAACTAGCTACCAACCTCACCCTCACCTCCACCCTCCCCCGGGGCCCTCTGCCACCCACCTCTCAGAGCCCCACTGACCTCTTGGGGTGCAGGAGAGCACCTGTCCCATGACCCCCTCCCAGTCTTGGCCCTGTGGCTCTCAGGCTGACCACTGGCCCACCCGCCTGCCCGCCTCAGGCACAGCTTTCAGGGAGCCAGCACTGCCACTGCACAGCCCAGTTCGCTTATAGAGCTGAAGGAGGTGGGTGAGGCTGGCACGCTGCGCCTGGGCCAGACAGGCCCACGGAGCACATGGTTAGCATTCCTGCCTGGAGGGGCCAAGGAGGGAGCCCCATTGTCCTCCCGGGCAGAGGAGCGGAGGCCCCAGAGGAAGGAGAGGGGATGCTAGGTGTTCAAGAATGGGAGCAGGAGGCCCAATCAGTGCCGGGGCTGGAGTCGAGGGCACCGTGCTGGCTGGGGTACATTGGAGTGGGCCATGGTGATGAAGGTGGTGGCAAACAGACCTGCACCCAGCCCTGGCTCTGCGTGATTGGCACTTAACCTCTCAACCTCAGTGCCCTCATCTGTAAAATGGGCTGATCAAAGCGCCTGCCTCACAGGGTCCTGGACACAGGGCCTGGCCCTGGTCAGCAAGCAAACCATTTAGTCCCTGGGCGGGACGAGTAGTTTGCACCTGGCTACATAACAGCAACAACTAACCAAAAGTTGGTGATTTACACTCAGAAAGAGATCAAAATTGGAGAGCCTAGACAGAGCGGGAGGGAAAACATGGAACAAAATTCAAAAATGCAAAAATGACCAGAATTATTGGTTAGATAGACTAGTGGAACCCTCAAGACTATGGCCCCAGGTTATCCTTTGGGCCTGGAACTGGACTCACTTCCATGGATTAGCTCTCAGCCAAACAGTAGAGAGGCCTACCTGGAGAACACCTACCCTAGGGAGACGCACCCACCTACTCTAGGGGAGAAGCACCCCCTAGATCCATCAACTGTGAGCCACAGAGGAGGCTGGGCACAAGGAAGGCAGGGATAAGAAGGGCACAGTGAAGGGGCAGTCACAGGGAGGAGAGGGGAGGAGAGCTGTTCATGGTTGGGGATCGCAATCAGTGCCATGAAACCAAACGTGTATGAACTGTTGAAAGTAAAACGAATCTGCTTTGTAAATCTGCACCCAAAGCGCAATAAAATACTAAAAAATAAACAAAAAAATACCTTGGTGGTCTGGACCCACCCAGTGGCACTGTGGAAGAAAAGCCTGGCAATGTTTCTGGAAAGGTCACAGCCTGGGAAGCCCTATGGAGCTCAGTTCTACTCTGTAACACGGGGTCGCCGTGAATTGGGATCAACTAGACACTAACAGGTTCACTTTGTTTTTTATCCCCATCGCACACTCCTTACTGGTTAGCGATTATCATCCAGATGTTAGCCTCAGTGAAAATTTAAGAAGCTGGTCAAATTCCCCACTCTCCCAGGATCCCAGCGGTTTCTCAGCCTGCCCTGGGTAACTGCTAACTGCACCCACAGTCTCCCAACTGAGCTGCCCACACCCCAGGCAGAGGGCTGTCCTTGGCTGGTGGCAAGAGAAGCTACTGGTGCAGCAGCAGGCTGTTCGTCCCTCTCTCCGGACAGGAGTGGTGTAGGTGTGGGAGCCTGGCAGGGTGGGGACGGGACGGTCTTTGCATTGGGGAGAAGAGAGGGGCAAGCCTGTCTCGGGCGGCCCTGCCTTCTGTTAGAACCCACCCCTCCCGGGAAGGAAGAGGCCTAGCTCACCCTGAGCCAGGCAGGGTGCCAGGCACGCTGGTCCAGGCCTGCCCCCCGGCCCTGGTGGGCCCCTGAATGCCCTAGCAGCCTCGGCAAGGCAGGGCTTCATTCCAGCAGGGAGGGATCAGGCATGGGGGAGCAGCATGGGGTGGGTGGGGAGGGGACCGCTACAGCCAAGGCTGAGCCGAGCTGCTGCGTTACTCCAATAACGTAAATAGAGCCAGAGTGACAGGGGAGCAGAGGAAGGGCCCCGGGCCCCCCGGACCTCCCTATGAAGTTGGCCACACAGAGCTACTCAGGACAGTGAGAAGAATGGGAGCTTGGGAGCAGGAAGTGCGGGGGTCAAATCTTCCCTTGGCCACTTGCTGGCTGCCACCTGCACCTCTCCGAGACTCAGTGCAGATCATCAGGGCCTGAAAGTCGTCAGAGATGGTCAGCAGGAAAAGAGACACAGAAGGCCCTTCAACTCACCACCCGACCAGCTCTGGATGGCCTGGGATGGACAGCTCTATGGCGGGATGCAGTCCCTCCAGGGAGGGGCAGAACAACGTGACAGGAGGGTCTGGAACAGGGGCAGGGCGGCCCGGGTGGCTCCCGTTCTTCTAGAACAATGGCCGGAAGGGCAGTCCAGGGAGAGGCTCAGTGACTGGGCTTGGGACCTTGGTGGAGGCTGGAGGGGCTGGGTTCCTGGCGGTGGCCCCAGGCACTTCCCCTGCGACACAACCTTCTTCCCTCGCCTAGGGGTGGAGGTGGAAGGGTCAGTCCTGATTTAGGCCTGGCAGCGGATGTGAGCTCAGCTGGTCACCTCCAGCCCCCTCCATTTCCTTTGGCCAAAGAAGGGGACAGCAAGGAAAGGGTGGGAGAGAGAGGGAGGGAGGGGCAGGGGCAAGGCCGGGGCGACTGCACCCTCTCCTCCCAGCCACCTGCTCCTTGAAGATGGTCTGCAGTGGGGGGGGGGGGGAATGCCAGTTCCCCGTGACCAAATGCAGGAGGCCAAGGGAACCCCTCTCTCCTGCTTTCTCTTTGGATAAACAGAAAGCTCTGGAATAAGAGAGGGGAACCCTGAGACCTGCCTTCCAGCAGCTTCCTTGCGCCTCTGTGGAATGGAACAGGAGTCAGTTCCCAGCCCTCCTGCAGAGAGCAGCTTTAGAATCATCTGGAGAATTTTCTAAACTACAGCCTCAGACTCTTCTGGAAGGTTCTAGTGGTAAGGGGAGTCCAGGGAGTCTGCATTTTTAGAACACGCCCCAGGGAAGCCTAACTGGAAACCGTACAAGAGCAAGGGGAGAGGGCATAGGCTTGTCTCCGATGTGCCACCACAGCTGTATGACCTTGAGCAAGTCACAAACCCTCTAAGAGTGTTGGTTTCCTTATCGGTGAAATGACGCAAGAATATTGATCTCACAGGGGGCGTCCCTGGGTGGGCAACGCACTCAGCTTCTAACTGAAAGACAGGTTTGAGTCCACCCAATGGTGCCTAGGAAGAGAGCCTTGGCAACCTCCTTCTGAAAACCCAGTCAATGTAAACCCAGTGGGCACAGGTCTACTCTGACACACGTCGCCAGCAAGCAGAATTGACTAGATGCCAAATGGCATCTCACAGGGATGTTGAAAGGATTAGAGCATTTTGCAAACTGCTGTGGTTATGTGCCAGAATTCCACAATTCTGATTCTGACATGGTGACCCCATGTAGAACTGCCCTATAGGGTTTCCAAGGCTGGGGTACAGTGGTTAAGGCATGTGGCTGCTAACCAAAAGGTCAGTGGTTCGAACCCACCAGGTACTCCATGGAAGAAAGATGAGGCGGTCTGCTTCCATGAAGAGTTACAGGCTTGGAAACCCAACCAGATTGGCTATGAGTTGGAAGCGACTCTATGGCAGTGAGTTTGGTTGTTTGGTTCAATCTTTACAGATCAACAGGTCTGTCTTCCGCAGAGCAGCTGGTGGGTTTGAATGACTGATTTTTTTTTTTTTTTTTTGGGTTAACAGCCGAACGCTTAACCATTGCACCACCAGGGCTCCTCTTGCCAACTACAAGGCTTGCAAATGCCATCAGCATTCTCACTTTTGTCACCAGCTTCCCCAGTTGCTCAGAGGACTGGGAGGGGAGGCCTCCGGAGGAGTGCCCGGGGCCCTGCCACCCTGTGCAAGGTGTCTGAAGGGGCGAATTCTCCTCTTTGTGGGTGTAGGACCACATCTCTTTCTCTAGATATGGTTCCTGCAGGACACAGGGAACTTTCTCTGAGCTAAGGAGCCGGGCTGAGGTTCCCCACCTCCAGCTTCCACATGCCAACCTGCCTGCTCTCCGAGGGCCTCACTTTGAGGTCCCAGGACTGTGAGGCAGCACCAGCTCGACCAAGGCCCACTGGGCAGGGAGCCAAAAACAACACCGGAGGGGAGGGGAGTGGCTCCTTCTCAGACCTCCCTGTGGCCAGCAGAACACCTTCCCTCAGGCTGTTCACCTTGTACCCACTTCTCCAGGGCACAGAGACCACCCCACATCTGTGCATCCCCTGGGGTGCAACTGAGCATACACATGTGCACAACTGCCAGGGAGCAGGCTCTGGCCCTGAAAATCCTTCCTTCAGGCACCCCACGCCCCCAGTTGTGGGTGGAATAATTAGGCATCTTCAGGTAGCCTGGGGGCTCCTTCCTGTGCACATGGCCAAGATGTGTCTTGGGGTTAGAGCCCCAGCACCCTGGGGAGACCCTCTCCTCCAGGAAACTCCTCCCCCAGCTCCAGTCTGGTGGCAGACACCACCTCCTGCCCCTCGTGGTCTAAGAATTCAAAAGGGACAAGTCTAGTGACCACCTGGGACAGCTCCGAGATCTTGCCCCAAAACTCAGAGGTCCGTTCTCTGGGGGTCTCTCCACTGACGGACCCAGGGGAGGGGCTCAGGAGTGGCCTCTACAATGTCAGGACTGGATCTGCCAGGCTGTGGAGAAGCCTTCAGGAAACCAGTTTTGACCACACACCCCAGGGGACACAGGCAGCTAAGGGAACAAGAGATACAGGCACAAGGGAAAGAGGTGTTCGCAAGGGGCTAAAGAATGCTTAACTTTTTAAAAAATGTATCTTCTTGCAAACATTCCATTGAGGAAGACAAAACTAAAGGGATGCTCCAATTGAAGGGTCTCTCTTGCTCTCTTTCTCTTTATTCAGTCTCTCCCAACCCAATGCCAGGCACCCCATGGCTCCAAAGAACACAGATTAGAAACCACCTGGTAGAAGCAACTCCATAAAGAGCTCTGGTGCCTAAGGCATCTGACTGCTAACAAGAAGGCCAGCAGTTCAAACCCATCAGCTACTCTGTGGAAGGAAGATGGGGCAAACTAATTTGACTCAATGGCAGTGATTTTTTTTTTTTTTAAGAAGAAACTCTACAAGGGCAAGAACTTTCGTCTGTTTTGTTGACTGCAACAGCCCAATGCTTAGAAGAGAGCCTGGCACATAATAGGCACTCAATAAAAGTCTGCATGAAAACATTTCAAACATCTTACTTTACAGATGAAGAACCAGAAGACCAGAGAGGTTAAGTGATTTACCCCAAGGATACACAGTAAGGAGACCCAATTTCCTCTCAGTTTCTCCCATCCAGATGCACTTTCTTATCTAGAACAAAACAGTCTTTCTACCCCAAGTCCCCAGATCACCATTACCCCCAAGTCTCTCTCTGCAACCTGACTCAGGAACATGACTCAGCTGACAATTACCCTACCAGGTACTCACTGGTCTTTGCGGCCTTGACCTTAGCCACCAGCTTCTGCACACCGGTCACATCCCCATTCTTGACGGCAAGGATCAAGTCCTGCTCACGACCCATTGTGACCCCTGGCCAGAGCTCTGGGCTCAGAGGTCCACAGCAGAAGCAGGGAAGGTGGTCCAAGCCAAGGAGTCAGGGTGCCATCGCTTGGCCCCTGGAGGGCTAGGGGTCCTGAGGGGTGGGTCCGGTGCCCCAAGCAGTGGGCTCTCGATGGGGGCTGACAGTGCCCCCTCAAGGTGCTCCGAGTGCCGCCACTACAAGCAGGAAAGCTGATCTCTGAGGAGGTGGAGGTGGCATGGAAATCTGGACAGATCTCGGTTTGCAGCTTCTGTCGGCCCTGGAACAGGCCAGGACTGGCACGCCACTCTGCTTGGCTTGGGAGCGCCAGTGCCCACCCAGAGAGCAGCCAGCATTCCCTTGGGCCTCGGACAGCAGCCGTGGACACGTCTCAGGGGTCTGGCAAGGCTGCCACAGCCTGCAAAGGTCCCAGAAGCAGAGCTCAGATGCTGAGCTGAGCAGGGCTTCCAGGAAGCCCCCAAACCACCCAGGGTCAAGGGAGGGGCGCGGGGGGAGCCACCTGGAGAGAACGTGGAAGGGGTAGGTTGGGTGCTGGGAAGGGAGGCTGAGCGACCTGTGCCCCAGGGTACCTGGCAGCACATCAGCCTTGGACAGGAGAGTCCTGGCAGGGTGACACGCAGGGGCAGGCTGGGCCAGCAGCCTGTTCTCCACAGCCTGAGGCCTCAACACCCACAGACAACTGGCGGGCCAGGAAGTGGGGCCTGGGCAGGTAAGGCATGGAGACAGCAGTCGCTCCCAAGGCAGGTGCCTGACCCCAGACACCTTCCTACCTAAGTCTGACTTCAACAGCTGAGTGCTCTGGCTAGGGCGCTTTATGTGGATCGATGTGGGGAGCAGATGGCCACCCATTTCAGGTGGGAGGGTCTGCCTGCTGAACACAGACTTTCCAGCACCTGTTGCTGACCCATCCTTAACTCCCATGTGGGTGGGGGAGCAGTTGGGCAGATACAAGGGCTGGGGCACAGCAGGCAAAAGGGGTTCCCTGCCCCCCGCAAGCCTGAACCTGAGGCCCACAGCGGCAAAGCTGCCGTCAGATCCTCCGTGGCGGTGAATTTGCCACCCAGTCCTGTGGCATGAAGACCGTGAAGGCCTGGGGCGCTGGCTGGGGACGCCCCCAAAATGTCTCAAGCCCAAAGCAAAGGGCACTGCCCCTCATGGCCCACGGCGGACAGTGCCTGGGGTCGGGCTGGCTCCCCCGCCCCCCGGAATGCCCCTCCAGCGCCGCGCGACCTCCAGCCCAGCCCAGCCCAGGCCGACGGAGGAACAAAGCGGCGGGAAGGATCCGGAGGGCCGAGCGCCGGGGGGATCCGTGCTGGAGGACGGGAAAAGGGGGCGCGAGGAGGACGGAAGGAGCAGGGAGATGGAGGCGCCCGCCGATCCCACAGGAAAAGTTAGTTTGTGCCCGCCCCCAAGGGCGCTGACCCCCGCGCGGGCCCCGCAGCCTCACCTCTCCCGGCTGCCTGGCCGGGGTCCGGCTGGCCCTGCGTGGTCCCCGGCGCTCCGGACGGTAGCTCCCACTGCCCCTGCCCCGTTCTCCTCTTCCCCCTCCTTTTCCAAGGCCGGCTCGGCGCCTCCCGCAGGAAATCCCGCCCCTCCCCCCCTCCCGCCGGATCGGGAGCGCAGAGACCGTCCCGGCCGCGCAGTCAGGCTGTCAATCAGAGCCTGCGGTCCCGCCCCCATCCGCGCGAGGCCCCGCCCCATTCGTCCGGTCGAACCGGGGGCGCCCGTCAGATCCGCGCATGCGCCCAGGTGGGGCGTGCGGTGGCAGTGGGATCGGTGACTGGGATTTTCCCTCCTGTCGGGCACAACCGCTCAGTCCCGGTTACGGAGCTGGGGCCACCCAAGGCTCTAGAGGCTAGACCGAGGGGCGATGTGCTCTCAGTGGGACTGGGTAGGACAGAAGATGTGACCTGAAGGGGTTTGGGAACCGAGACCCAGGGACCCACTTGGGTAGCCCCCCTTTCTCTTTGTGCCTCGTTTGTACCAGGACTCCCGCAGCGTTCTTCTCCGGCTCCTGAGTTGCAGAGCCATAGCCTCTCCCGGAGCAATGGTGCCACCTAGCGGACGGTGCGGAGTGGCCCACGGAGGCAGCTGCGGGGACCCCAGTCTCCAGAAGGGGCTCTAAATGGAGGGCTGGCGTGGCGGGTCAGCACCATCGTGGGCCGGACAGCGCCTTCTGCCCCAGGCCCTCGAACCCCGACCTTCTGACTCCCTCCCTCGCCATGGACCCAACGGAAATCCTCAAGTAGAGGCAGATTACCTAATAAGCAAGGTAAGCACGAGCTTATTTGTGCTTATTTACTAATCTATAGTGAACATTTTCACATGGGTTTCACCAAAACATGCGATACAGGTCACTGCATATTAGTAACTAAGCACAAGTAAGCCCGTGCTTACCCTGCTAATTGAATACTCCATCCCTGCCAGGGACTGTAAATTTGAGAAGGGGCTTTGATTCTGTAGGCAGGTGCTGTGGGATGGGGAGACAGACGCCTGCCATGCCTGGAAGCAGAATCTTTGTTGTGTTGAAAAAAAATGTGAAATTCTCTACTACAGATCTGTAAGTAAGCACAAGTAAGCCTGTGCCTACCTTGCTTATCCACCACCCCTGAAGGAACTCTGAACAGCTGCGGGCCCAACCTAACAGCCATGGGGTGGCCTTCAGTTTGCGAACCTAGAACCTAGAATTCGGAAACCCACTGCCTTTCCTTGCCCAAACCCTCTCCTTCCCTCCTTGCCCGTCCTGGGTTGGTGGGGCCTAAGGCTGTGGAGCTCTGGTAGCACAGTGGCTCAGGCACTTGACTGCTAACCAGAAGGCTGGTGGTTCAAACCCACCAGCCACTCCTCGGAAGGAAGATGGGGCAATCTACTTCCGTAGTGATACTGCCTCGGAAACCCAAGGAGGGGTCGCTATGAGTCGGGGCCGACTCGGCACACAACAGCAACAACAACAAGGCTGTGGAGAAGGGTTACACATTTGACTATTCAACGCTCCCTGACGCCAGATTCTTAAGTTTTACTAGAGAAGAACCGCAGAAGAGGGCTGGGGACGGGAGAATGGGAGCTCTTGTTGTGTGCCATCGAGTTGATTCGGACTCATAGCAATGCCGCCTCATAGCAATGCCGCTAACAGTCAATCTGCTCCCTAGGGTTTCTGGAAGTAGTTCCGGTGGCGGAGTGGTTCAGCACGTGGCTACTGAGAGGTTAGCTGCAAGAGAAAGGCCTTACAGTCTGCTTCCCTAACAATTACAGTCTGCTTCCCTAACAATTACAGCCTTGGGGCCCTCATTCATGGCATAAATACACTACTGAACATAACTGAAAACACAAATACCAGAAGACAAAGAAGACTGGGACCTCCTAAAAATTCGACACTTATGCACATTGAAAGATTTCAGCAAAACAGGAAAAAGAGAACCCACAGACTGGGGAAAAAAATGTACACAGTGACATATCGGTTAAGGGGCTTATGTCTAAAATTTATAGAAAACTAAAACACTCTAACAAAAAAAGGCAAATAATCCAATATAAAAATAAGCAGAGGACATAAACGGACACTTCACCAAAGAAGACACTCAGGCAGCTATCGAACACGGGGAAACATAACGCGGGTGAGCGTAGAGGACGTATTGCGAAGCGAAATTAGTCAATCACGAAAGGACCAATATTGTATGAAACCACTATTGTCAAAAGGAAAGAAAGAAAGAAAGGTTTCATACAAAAAGAAATAGTCTTTAATGGTTACCAGGGGTGGGAGGCCAAGGCAAGGTAAACCACTAACTAGAGGATAGACATAACACTAACTTGGGTAAAGGGAAAAGAAGGGGAAAAAAGAAGAAGAATGCGGTGAGCGTGAGAGATGGGTAGGTGTTCCTGGGGATGAGGCAGGGTCTGTTTTGGTTTCCAATGATTAGAAACAGGGGTGGTTAAGCAGACTGCAAGTCCACAGATTTTTGTATAGCAAAGGAAGAGCTATTAGGAAACTATGTTCTTGTCTGCGCCAGAAGGGGAAGGCAAAATAAAAGGGAGGTAGGGACCACAATAAAAATATTTGGTGAAAAAAAAGAAAAGATTACAGCCTTGGAAACCCTATGGGGTAGTTCTACGCTGTGCTGTAGGGTCTCTAGAATCCTAATCTACTCCAGGGCAACGGTTTTGGTTTGGATTTTGAAGCTTTAGGCGAACAGATCACCAGGTCTTTTTTCCGCGGAGCTGCTGTTGAGTTCGAACTGCCAAGTTTTCCATTCTCAGCCAAGCGCTTAACTGTTGCGCCACTTCCAAACGCTCAGCTACGGGAATCGAGTCACAGGTGTGGGGCGGTGCTAGAACCCAAAATAACCAGGAAGACCCCTAGGGTGACCCGGCACTCCAGAAGACTAATTGCGCCGCTGGGCGCTAGGGCCGCGCGGAGCTCCGAAGGTGGGCGGGTCATGGGCGGTGCGCGCGCAGCCGCAGATGGCGCCCCAATGGATCCTGCTGCCGAGCTCTCGGATGTGGAGGTTCCTGCCGGGCGCGTGCTCAGGTGCGAGCGGCCGGAGGAGCTTTGGGGGGCGTGGGGACACTGAGGGACCCCGGGGAGGGGAACAGGCGTCCAGGGCGGGCTGGCTGACCGCTCGGCCGTGACCCGCGTCCCTCCTCCCCAGTGCCCGGGAGCTGCTCGCCGCCCGCGCGCGGCCCCAGAAGCTGCCCCAGCGCTCGCATGGCCCCAAGGACTTCCTCCCCGACGGCTCGGAGGCCCAGGCCGAGCGGCTGCGCCAGTGCCGCGAGGAGCTTTGGCAGCTGCTGGCGGAGGAGCGCGTGGAGCGCCTGTGAGCGTGCAGGCGGGCCGGGGTGGGCTGGGGGCTGGCGGGCTCTGCCACTCTCAAGTGCACTGAAATGACTTCTCCCCACCACTCGCCAGGGGTAGCTTGGTAGCCGCCGAGTGGAGGCCAGAAGAAGGTTTCGTGGAGTTGAAGTCTCCTGCGGTGAGTGGCGGGACTCGATGACAAGGGACCTTTGCCCCCCTGGCTCCTCTGTGACACTGTCTCTGATCCCCACTCAGGGTAAATTCTGGCAGACCATGGGTTTCTCAGAGCAGGGCCGGCAGCGGCTTCACCCAGAAGAGGCCTTGTATCTGCTGGAGTGTGTGAGTGGGGCCCTGGAGAGTGGGGAAGGGGTTGGGGACCCCAGAACCCAAAGGACACATTGGGGAGAAAAAAAAGGTACACACAACTGGGTTTCCAAGGAGTTTGTCACTTGATTTCTAGAGCAGGGACAAGAATGGCATGCAGAGAACAGGAGGTCCAGTCCAAATTAGTGTTGCAGACCCCCTTTCCGGGTTGGCCACATTCTTGTGCTGATGCTGAGGAGGGGAGGCATGGCAGAGCCAGGGAGCTGCGCCACTGCAGGGTGGGGCTCACAGGCTGAGTTATTGCCCCCCCCCCCACTTCCAGGGCTCCATCCAGCTCTTCCACCAAGACTTGCCGTTGTCCATCCAGGAGGCCTACCAACTGCTGCTGACCGAGGACACTGTGACTTTCTCGCAGTACCAGGTATCTGCTCCCCTCTCCAAGAACAAGAGCCACTCATCCATTGAACCGATGAGCACACACAAGTATTAACAAGTAACTACGAGGTGCTAGGCACAGTGCTACATGGCGGGGCTGCAAGACAAACCAGGCTCTTTTGTGGTGCTTGGATAATAAATAACTGAACAGGCAAATGAGCTATTGGCTTTAGAGGGAAGTGAGTGGTAGGTAAAAGATAAAGTAGAGGGAATGGTGATTGAGACTGAAAGATGCTGATTTAGATTTGGGGTCAGAAAAGTATGATTGAAGGGCTAGTGTTTGGAGTGAGACCAGTCGAGAAGGAACTAACCTTGCAAAGATTCAGGGATAGTACTCTGAGCAGAGGACACAGCAAGTGCAAAGGCCCTGAGACAAGATAAGCTGGGGTAGGGGCAGGGATTGAGGAACACAGTCTTAGTGCATGGCTCAGAGTACACAGGGAGTGGGGTGGTCACGAGGTTGGGTAAATAAGTGGATACACAGGCCTGAAGTGCAGGGGAAGTCAAGGCTAGAGGGCTAAAACATGGACTTCATGAGTGCTTGGATGCTGTTTAAAGCCACGGGACTGTAGGAAGCTGTGGCCAGCGTGGAGGGCTGGGTTGGAGAACTGGGTCTCTCCAATACGAGGAGGTTGGGAGAAGACTGATAGACCAAACCAAGGAGTGTCCAATGACATTGGAGAAAAACCAGGAGAGGTAGCGGCACGAAAGCCAAGAGAAGGTCTTTGGAGGAGGAAGTGGTCAGCTATGTTGAGGGCTGCTGAGAGTTCAAGCACGATGAGGGACATCGGTGGATGTGTCCCTTTGATACGGTTACACGGACACAAGGACAAACGTGGCTCTTTACCAGGGTCACTCCCACCCCACCCAGGTCTGGAGTTGGGAGGAATGACCGCCACCTTCTGCCACCTTCTTGTCTCGACCGTAGTCAGGAGCTTCCTCTTGGAGCTTTGGTATCGGTATCCTAGGGCACAGTTCTCTGTCTGGTCCATTGCTGTCAACTTTTAGATTGAAAAACTACTAAATGCCTTTTGTGCCCAGAATAAGGTAAGTGAACAGGGTAGTGAACAGGAGACTCTACTCTGGGGAGTGTGTTTATAGTGGATTGTAGTCTAACTCGTACCAGGGTTTGGGATCTGCAGGTGTGTAGGAGGGGTCCAGGGAGTGGCGTCTGCCTGGAGTAACTCTGATGTTTTCAGAAGGAGGTGTCTGACCTCAGTTTTTTCTTTTTGAGGTTTTCAGCCACCTGAAGAGACTAGGTTATGTAGTTCGACGATTCCAGCCAAGGTAAATCCTCATCCTTTTCCTTCTGTTTGTTCAAACCGTGGGACCCAGCTGGGTAGCCCAGGGTGGGAAGGTAGCCTCTTCCTGCCTGGAACCCTTGGCTGGAGCCCTGGAACCAACCCTGGACATGAGTTGGCCTCTGCTGGAAGAAACTGGGTCGTTTCCGTTTATCCTGGGGGTATCAACTTGGGCCCTGTCTTCAGCTGAGTCCATGGGGGAGCTTGGGGACGTGGCACTGGAGTGGGGCCCAGCATTTGGTAGGTGTGCGTGCAGATCTGTCTAGTGAGGGAAGGACTGAGTGGAGAGTTTGCTGTTGAGTAAACTCACTCACTGCCATCCAGATGGATTTGACTCATAGTGACCATTCCTTGGGTTTCTGAGGCAGTATCTCTTCAGAAGTAGATTGCCCGACCTGCCTTCCGAGAGGGCCTGGTGGGATTGAACCGCCAGCCTTCTGGTTAGCAGTTAAATGCCTTAGGCACTACGCCACGCCACCAGAGCTCTTCCACTAGGCTCGATGTTCTTTCCTTCTGGGGCCTCGGAAGATCATCCCCTTGGTAATAGTGTTGCTGAGAGCCTCAGAGACCCTCAGGCTTGGAGTGGCAACTGGTACAGCCTTTGCCGTTTCAGTGTGTCACGAAGCTCTGCAACAGGCACAGCCTTTAATTTCTGAAAAACCAAACCAGACACACTGCCATTGAGTTGATGCTGACTCATAGTGACCCCTATTGGGTTTCCAAGGCAGTAAATCTTTACGGAAGCAGATTGCCCCATCTTCTGCGGAGCGGCTGGCGGCTTTGAACCACCATCCTTCTGGTTAGCAGTCAAATGCCTTAGGCATTGTGCCACCAGAGTGCCTTTTAATTTCTGTAAGTAGAATATAAGTTAAGGAGATAATCACGAGGTGTGCGAAGATTTACCTGTGAGAATGTTCCTTTCTTTATTTAATAAATATTTGAGCACTCGTTGTGTGTCAGGCCTCGGCTAGGAAGTTGAGGAGACAGCAGAGGGTAAAAATCTCCGCCTCTGCAGAGCTTGCGCTTAGTGGGGAGCTCGTGCAAACAGCATTCCTTTGCAAAATCAGGAGTCCAACAGTGGGGACATGGTAACATAAATTCCAGTTTCTCCCTCAGAGCAGCTCCGCCTGATAGACCCTTCTGTGATGAGAACTTCCTGTTGTCCAACATATATGCCTTAAGCACCTTTGTTAATTGTTAACTTTTCTTCATTTCAGTTGATTTAAGTTTAACTTAAATAACCACTTGCAGCTAGTGGCTGGCACAGTTCTAGAGCCATAAACAATCATGCCAGAGAAGAATGCTATGGTGATAAGGGACCGTGTTTATAACATTGTGTTGGGGGGGAGGTGGTGGAGAGAAGGATTACAAACCAATCCCCTGGGTGGCGTAAATGGTTAAATGTTCAGCTATAGGCTGAAAGGTTGGTGATTCAGATCCACCTAGAGGCTTCCTAAAAGGCCTAACGGTCTGCTCCTGAAAGGTCAGAGCCTGGGAAGCCCTGTAGAGCAGCTGTGCTTGCCACACACAGGGTGGTCCGAGTGGGAATTGGAATCCACTTGACAGCAACTAACAGCAAAATGCATAGAACAACGTCATATGGAGAGATTGTGTGCATGTGAGAAAATGTTAAAGTGGTTCTCCCTGATTTTTTTCCCGATCTTTATTTTCCTGTGATTTTCCAGTTTTCTAGCTCCTCTTGGTTTTTTTTTTACAGTGGTCGATCCTTTCTTGCTGACTCTGCAAACCCTTTGCTGTTGAGTTGATCCTGACTCACAGTGGGAGCCCCAACCCCAGGGAACCTCTCTGTTCAGAGGTGCCACTGGTGAGGCCCAGTGGCTGCCCCTGTGTTCCCGTCTGCCCGGGCCCTGTGGCCTTAGCCCTCAGCAGTGGCCCCCTGACTTGTCCTCTCAGCCCCCTTCCCCACAGAGCCCGTGGGAAATGCCAGGTGGAGGAGGTGGATCTGTTGCCCTCCCCTCTCCCCACAGCTCCATCCTGTCCCCTTACGAGAGGCAGCTGAACCTGGATGGCAGCGCCCAACTCCTGGAGGACCGGAACGGCAAGAGGAAGAGGCGGAGCTCCAGTTCTCGGTAATGCTGCCGTCACGGCCCCCCAGGAGTTGGGGGGCTGCTGAGCTGTTGGAGGTGTGCTGGGGTTGGAACCCTCAGTGGGTGCTTGAGCAGCTCCTGCAGTGGCTCAGGGAGACAGCTGGGCACCTGCCCACCTGCTCAGTGCCCAGTGGGGTGTGTGCATGGCAGCAATCCAGAGCTAAGTTTTTGCTTTTCCTTCCTATGTTCCCTCAGGTCCATTCCCAAGAAGCCCAAGGCCCCAGAGAGCCCCCTGCAGGAGGTGAATGGGACGCCCAAGCACCACACAACCTCCAGCCCACCTCCCTGCAGCCCAAACAGCCAAAGCTCAGAGGAGAAAGCCCAGCAGCCAAGCCCCAGAAAGGAATCAGAACTTCTAGGGTCCCTGGAGCCTGGGCCTGGCCTGGCCAGCGATGGGGTAGGGTGCAGCCAGGAGAGTGGCAAAGCAAAGAACGGGGTCCTAGGGGCTTGTAAACTGCGCTGGAACTTTGAGCAGATCTCCTTCCCCAACATGGCTTCGGATAGCCGCCACACCCTCCTGCTTGCCCCAGCTCCAGAGCTGCTCCCAGCCAACGTCCCCGGGCGGGAGACAGATGCTGAGTCCTGGTGCCAGAAGCTCAACCAGCGGAAGGAGAAGCTCTCACGGCGGGAGCAACAGGCAGGGGCCTGGCACTTCCGGGACGACGTCAACGCAGACCCCGAGGTGCAGCGCTGCTCTAGCTGGCGGGAGTACAAAGAGCTACTGCAGAGGCGGTACCTGCAGAAGACCCAGAGCCGCCCCCCACACCTCTGGGACCAGCCCGTCACCCCCCTGCTGAGCCCTGGCCAGGCGGACTCCCCAGGTACCGCCACCCTGCCACAGCCTTGCTGGCCACTGGCAGCTGAGGCGTCAGAAGACTTTGAAAAGGGCATGGGTTGACTGGGACTGAGCCAGGCTAAGAAGGATGGGGAAGCTAAGAAGGATGGGGAAGGGGAGACTGTCTTAGTGGAAACCCACAAGGAAATCTACTCCAGGGCAGCAGCAGAGGCCCCAGATGGGGACGTCAGACATGGTTGGTTGGTGACAGTGGAGAGGTGAGGAGGAATGACAACTATGACCATGTCCTTAAAATCATAAACAAGATGCGTGTGTGGCTCACAGTCTCATTAGGCTGCAACCAGGAGGTACCATTTAGGCCAAATGAAAGGCTGGCTTTCTGCTCTTGCTGTCAAGCTAATAGGGTGAGACTAGCCTGGGCTGAGCACACTGAAGGATTTAGCATGCCTTAAAATCCTTATGGGGACATGGCAGATCGTAAGAACTAGATCAGGGTTGCCAGATAAAATAAAGGTGTGCGGTATTTGCTATACCTGGTGATCCTAAACTAGCTGGCAGGTTCAGAAATGCTGAGGGGTTCTATAGATGGTTGACCCCCAAAACCCTTCTGTTCATCTGTCCTTGTAGCCGCGGTCCTCCGGCATATCTCAGTGCTGCAGACAACACACCTGGCTGATGGAGGGGCACGGTGAGTTTGCAGACTTCAGAGCTGGGCATCAGTTGGTGACTTGTTCCAGGGCTGCAAATCCACATACCTAGTTCCGGGCAGAGCTCCTGTTCATGTGTGTGCAGGGGGGTGGGAAGAACCATAGACAAGGGGTGGATTTATCCCAAGGGTTCTGAGTTAGGGCAGCTGGCCTCCCCCTGCTCCTCAGTGGCCCCTTCCAGCCAGGACCTCAGTCCCCCTGGCCCAGGCTTTCATCTGGAACTGGTGATGGGTAAGGATGAGGTGGAAAAGAAAGGTGGGCAGGGGAGTCTGTTTTCTGAGGTTTCTCGCTTTGTCCTCAGGCTGCAGAAGTCTGGGGGCTTGGAGATCAGCTTCGACGTTTACCAGGCCAGTGCCGCGGCCACTTTCCGGAAGAAGAATCCTGGCAATCCCTATGTTCGGATGTGCATCAGTGGGTACGAGACAAACGTGTGTGTACCTCTTCTCTACCCTGACCCCCGGGCCACTGTGCCAGTCTGAGCGGAAAGTAGGTCCAGAGAGGTTAAGTGACCCCGTGTGAGGCCACACAGCCAGGTTTTCCAATTCTGAGCTCACTCCTGGCATTTTGGGGTTGGCTCTCCTGTGCCACTTTAGTCCCAGGGTCTCCCAGCAAAAGGGTTTATATGGACTAAGTGGTGAGAGAGGCTCTCTTTGCCAGGGGTCTGGTTCCTTCTTGGAGCACTAAGCAGAGACATACCCTTTGCAGAGAGGACAGTCCAGGGACCAGAGTCCTTGCATCCTCCTTTCCTGGGAGCCTTAGAGGGGCTGGGGTCTCAGAGCTTATGGGTGGGCTATACTGTGGTCTCAGTCTACCCCTTCTCCCTACAGATTTGACGAGCCAGTCCCAGGCCTCTGCACCCTCAAGCGGCTGTCCTACCAGAGTGGGGATGTCCCCTTGATCTTTGCCCTTGTGGATCACGGGGACATCTCCTTCTACAGCTTCCGGGACTTCACACTGCCCACAGACCTGGAGCACTGACCGCACAGCTCCTCCCACTCAGGGAAAGGCCGGGGCTGCCGGCCGGGGCCCACGCTGTGGCCCTGGACTTCTGCTCTCAGGGACTGCCTCAGCATCCTGCACCTGGAGCCACAGGGGCCAGTCTGTGCCCTGGCCCTGGTGTCTGATGATTGCAGGAGAGCAAAGCCATGCCCCTACCTGGTCACTACAACACTTCCATGCCCCCGGCCTGAGGTTGCTGCCTTGCAGTGACCCCCCTTGAAACTCAGGACTGTGTATTTCAGAGGCCCAGCAAGGTGGGGCAGAAGAGAGGACTCCGTGCCTTTAAACAGAGGGTGCCTGCTTCATGCGATAAAGCCAAAGCCATTAAAAAGTTCTGTTTCCTGTTCTGGTTGGATATACTAGACAAGTTGGATCTTCCCCACCCACTGCCCAGGGGCCTCAGTACCCTCTCCACCCTGTTGTCCACGGTCCAAGAGCAGATTTCTCTGGTGCAGACCTAAGAATGAGGGAAGCCAGCAGGAGGCTGAAACGCGCCCTGCCCCGCCCCCTGGGGGGTGGGCAGTCACAGACCTCTAGTTGGCTTGGGTTTCTGAAGGGGTTAGGGGTAGAGGATCACTGTGGCAGTGAGGCTGGCGCCTCGGTAGTTCTGCGGGCTTTCAGCAGCTGCTCAGGGGACGCGCCACTCCACTCCACCCTTCCGCGGCCCTTCCGCTCCCGTCTGCCCAAGCCCTCCCTCGCTGGTGCTAAAAAGTCCGGTCGCAGCCCCGGGTCCCCGCTGACATCTTCAACAGACCTGGAGAGGGTCCTAGGGCCCTCTCCGAGAGGAGGCGCCTTGCGGTGACGCCCCCAACCCCACCCACCCCTAGGTCCTAAAACTTGCCCTGCGCCCGCCGGTCCCCGCTTTGATCGGGCTGGGCCTTCCCTCGGCAGCTGGGCCGGGCGGTGGGAGGGACGGCTGCCGTCTGGAGTCGGGCTGGGAGGCGGCCCCGGGGCCCTCCGCGCCTTCCGGGAACTAGTTCCTCCTCCGGGAGACGGGCGCGGCGGTGCGTCCTTGGACGCAGGTACGCGCAGGTGAGGCCGGGGCGGGCCGGCGCGCCCTCGCACGGTCTCGAGCCTGGCCCCGCCCCGGGCCCTCGGGCCGGTGATTGGCTCC